TGTGGAGACTCTCCTGAGGCCCTGGGTTTTCTGTGGCTAAGCCAGACCATCAACCCATGAAGCGATAGCAGAGCTGGTTCAGACAGCAGGCATGGTAGTCCTCAAGGAAACTGCTCCTCCTCTCTGCTATTTTTTTTAATATGTAAAGATGATATGCTAACCCCTGTCTTTTATTTCTTGTTTCATTTCTCCATCAATTCAGATTTGGATGGATAAGAGAGACCCTATTTAATGTGAATTATTTTTAAGATTACAATGTGAATAATGGTTAAATCGGAGAACTGAGTCATGTAGTCTTGGGGTTGAATTTATCTATGCCTTATGTCATCATTTTGGACAAATCAGTTTCTCTCAGCTTGATTTCTCACCTATGAATGAGAAGTAGTAAATATATTATGTACTATAAGAATTTATCAAAGTATGTATATATACTAATAACAAATATTGTTGTATAAAATGTAACTATATACAGAAGCTACAAAACAATACACAATAGTTCTGTGTATTGAAATTATAAGAAGTGAGCTTTTTTACATGAATATATGATAAAACATTTAACACATTTAAGAAAAAAGTGATTGCATTTATATGATCTTAACATATGTAGAAACCTTAGTAAAAAATTTATACATACAAGCTAAGAGTCCCATAGGATATGAATTATCAAGTAGTGAATGGAGTAATTTTCAGAATAGAAAAGAAAAAAGTGATTTTTTTACTACTATAGTATCATCGTGTTTGCTGAATATGTTCCATGAATACTCAGTCTGTCACGATTCTCTTTTTATAAGAGAAATGATTCTTTTTTTTATTCCTTATATCATTTCATCACAGTATTACTCTATTTTAATTCTATCATTTCCCCCTTCTCCTTTTCAGGAAACAATTTTATAATGCAACTTTTTGTCTTAGTCGATTTCTGTTATCATAGAGTATGACTATTAGCTATGAATACAGAGGAAATTGGTGAAATAAGTAACTTATGTGAATATTTATTCAAAATGAGGCGGAATTTCTATATACGATGACCCTGAGAAATTATTGTTTTTTTCTTTTGTAAGGGAAGTGAGAGCTGGTGAAGATACCCTTTACCAATCTCAGAAGTAATAAAAAAGATCAAAAATATAGCTGCCAACTGTAGCAAGAAATAACAAATGGAACTTGGATCAGTTTAGAAACATCAAAACATCAAGCCTATGTAAAGAATACAGTCCACAATATTCCTCATGTAATGGATGACATAAATTAAATAGTAATAAATAGTATATGACTCACAATTAGTTCCCTGGAAATTTGTAGACATGAAAATTTCCTTAGGCAAATTAGTTATCTGCTGCTTGTCATCTAAGTTCTTTGGACCCCAGTGGTCATAAGTTTTAGGAAGATCGTTCATATAAGGAAAACTGGTGCAATGATCAATAATTACCACCTCAAACATTCCCCCTTTTCTTCACCCAATGACCACATTTTTATTTTACTTTAACCCTCCAAGTTTGGTTTTCTACCATATCTCATTCCAGCAAAGCGCTATAACAAACAAAACCCAGCAACTCATGGTAAGAGATATGACAAACTTATAAATTAAAAAATGCTTCATTTTAGTTATCTTTCCAAAGCATGTAGGGTTTTCAGTTGTTTTTATGCATAGAAGCACATGCAATAAATAAAAGAAACTCTCTTTGACAAATAGTGCTGAAAACACTGAATTCCCATACAGAATAAAATGAACATTGACTCTTACTTCATATTATATTTGAAAATAAATTCAAACTGGATCACAGATTTAAATGTAGAACTAAAATTGTAAAGATTATAGATGAGAACATAGAAAAAATTTGTGATTTCAGATAGCAGATATTGGTTTTGGACAGAAAAAGAACAAATTATAAAAATAATAAATGGAAGTTTATGAAAATTAAAAACTCGCTCTTTAAGAGGTACTACAAATTAAATTAAAATAAGGCCTAGAATGGTGCAAAATATTCACAGTAAATATATCTGACAAGGAACTTGTGCCCATATTATATAAAGAGTTCTTACAATTCAATAAGCAAGTGTGTTTTATAGTTATTGCATTATACATGTTTTCACATGTAATAAAGTACCCATTATTAGAACAAATAAATCAAAGCAAGATGAAATGTTGTACAACACCTTACAGTCTAAAACATTTCAAAAAATAAAATACAAAATTCCCTAGGGGGCTTGAGGTGTAGCTTACTGGTACAGTGTTTACTTGCCTAGCATGCCAAGGCCATGAGGTCAATTCCCAGCACAAGCAACAACAACAACAACAAACATCTCATGATCAAGTGACAAGTAAATTGGAATTTTCAAAAATAATTGGATGTTGAATTATATGATTAAGAAGGTTTATACCCAGAATGGCTTTCAAAGTTAAAAAATGTATGTCTCAAATATACTTTATGAATATAATGTATTTTAGCAAAACATGAAGTTTTCTAAGAAAAAATGAAAGAGAAAGATATGATTTAAAATTTGACTATGTCATAGTCATATTTTATTAACCCCAAGCATAGCTTATTTTCTACTTTCTTGCAACAGAATTAAAGGGTTAAAATTGCTTATGTGTGTGTGTATACACATAAATCTCATGCAGTAAGGAGGCATATATGTGTGACTATATATGTACACACACACATGCATATTGTTTGAGACACCTTTTTCACTGCTGTGATTAAAAGCCTGGACAGGAACAATTTTACAGGAGGAAAAGTTAATTTGAGTGTCCACAGTTTCAGTGGTCTCAGTCTATAGACAGGTGGCTCTATTCCTCAGGGCTCCAGGTGAGACAGAACATTATGGTGAAAGAGTGTGGTAGAGAGAAGCAGCTTGCATGATGATCAGGAAGCTCAGCACAAAATACCCACCCCAATGGCATGCCCCCAAAGGCCCATCTCTTCCAGCACACCTTGCTTGCCTTCAGTTATCACTTAGTAAATTCCCATTGGGGAATTAATTCACTGATTGTGTTAAGGCTCTCACAAACCAATCATTTCACCTCTAAGCCTTCTTGCATTGTCTCACATAGGCTTTTGAAGGACAGCACATATCTACATCATAAGACATACAATGTACACAC